TTTGGGGTGAAAAAAGGGGAAAAAAATGAAAAAGAAAAATTAAAAACTTAAAATTAGAATTGAAAATAAAATTTGGGGATTTTTTTTGGATTTTTTCCGGATTTTTTTTGGGTTTTTTTTGGGGTTTTTTGGGGTTTTTTTGATTGGGGTGGGGGAGGGGCGGGCTTGCCCCTCCCCCCACCCTTGGGGGGGTTTTTTGTTGATTTTTTTTGGGGAGATTTTGGGGGTTTTTGGGTTTTTTTTGTTAATATGGGGAGTACCAGGAGGTGGCTCGGGATCGGCCCCTGCGGAGAGAAATGGGGAGAAAAATCAGGATTTTGGGAAAAAAGGAGGAGATTGACGCAAAGTGACGCAAAATGACCCAAAATGTTCCCAAAATTACCCAAAATTGACACAAAATGGCCCAAAATTGACCCAAAATGACCCAAAATTGACCTAAAATGACCCAAAATTGACCTGAAATGACCCAAAATGACCCAAAATTGACCCAAAATTGACCTAAAATGGCCCAAAATGACCCAAAATTGACTTAAAATGTCCCAAAATGACGTAAATTCACCCAAATTTACCCAAAATGACCCAAAATGTTCCCAAAATTGACCTAAAATGACCCAAAATTGACCTAAAATGGCCCAAATTGACCCAAATTGACCCAAAATGACCCAGAATTGACCCAAATTGACCCAAAATAGACCTAAAATGACCCAAAATGACCCAAAATTGGCTCAAAATGACCCAAAATGACCCAAATTGACCCAAAATTGACCTAAAATGACCCAAAATGTTCCCAAAATGACCCAAAATGACCCAAAATTGACCCAAAATGTCCCAAAATGACCCAAAATTGACCTGAAATGACCCAAAATTGACCCAAAATGACCCAAAATGTTCCCAACTTGACCCAAAATTACCCAAAATTGACCCAAAATTGACCCAAAATGTCCCCAAAATGACCCAAAATTGGCTCAAAATATCCCAAAATTGACTTAAAATGACCCAAAATTGAGCTAAAATGACCCAAAATCGCCTCAAAATGACCAAAATTGACCCAAATGGACCCAAAATTGAGCTAAAATGGCCCAAAATTGACCTGAAATGACCCAAAATTGACTTAAAATGTCCCAAAATTACGTAAATTCACCCAAAATGACCCAAATTGACCCAAAATGTTCCCCAACTGACCCAAATTGACCTAAAATGTCCCAAAATGACCCAAATTGACCCAAAATTGCCCAAAATGACCCAAAATTGACCTGAAATGACCCAAAATGACCCAAATTGACCCAAAATTGCCCAAAATGACCCAAAATTGACCTGAAATGACCCAAAATGACCCAAAATGTACCAAAATTGACCTGAAATTGGCCCAAAATTGACCTAAAATGGCCTAAAATGACCCAAAATTGACTTAAAATGTCCCAAAATGACGTAAATTCACCCAAATTGACCCAAAACAGACTCAAAATGATCCAAATTGACCCAAAATTGACCCAAAATTGGCTCAAAATGACCCAAAATTGACCCAAAATGACCCAAATTGACCTAAAATGGCCCAAAATTGACTCAAAATTACCCAGATTGACCCAAAATGACCCAAAATGACCCAAAATGACCCGAATTGACCAAAAATTGATATAAAAAGAAACAAATTCATCCAAAATCGACTTAAAATGTCCCAAAATGACCCAAAATTGACAAAAAATGACCCAAAATTGACCTGAAATGACCCAAAATTGACATAAAATGTCCCAAAATGACCCAAATTGACCCAAAATGTACCAAAATTGACCCGAAATTGGCCCAGAATGGTCCTAAAACGACCCAAAATTGACCCAAAATTGGTTCAAAATGACCCAAAATGACCCAAAATTGACCTAAAATTGCCCAAAATGACCCAAAATGACCCAAAATGGACCTAAAATTGCCCAAAATGACCCGAATTGACCAAATATTGATACAAAATGACCCAAATTCACCCAAAATCGACTTAAAATGTCCCAAAATGACCCAAAATTGACCAAAAATGACCCAAAATTGACTTAAAATGTCCCAAAATGACCCAAATTGACCCAAAATGTCCCAAAATGACCCAAAATTGACCCAAAATTGACCCCAAAAAAACCTCAAAAAAATCCCTAAAAAATCCTTAAAAAATCCCCAAAAATTCCTAAAAAATCCCCCAAAATTCCTAAAAAATTCCTAAAAAATCCCAGAAAATTCCCAATCCCAAAAAACCCCGAAATAGCCCCAAAACGTCCCTCAAAACCCTAAAAAATGACCCAAAAATCCAAATTAACCCTTAAAAACCCTTGAAAAAATCCCGAAAAAATCCTTAAAAAATCCTTAAAAAATCCTTAAAAATCGTAAAAAATTCCTAAAAAATCAAAAAAAAATCGTAAAAAATCCCAAAAAATTCCCAATCCCTAAAACTCCCAAATAACCTCGAAAATGCCCCAAAAATCCAAATTAACCCTTAAAAACCCTTTAAAAAACCCCAAAAAAATCCTTAAAAAATCCCCAAAAAATCCCCAAAAAATCCTTAAAAAATCCGAAAAAAATCCAAAAAAAATCGAAAAAAAATCCAAAAAAATCCAAAAAAAATCGAAAAAAAATCCCAAAAAAATCCCAAAAATTCCCAAAAAAATCCCAAAAAAATTCCCCAAATCCCAGATTTCCCAAAACCGGTGCATTTTGCCCCAAATACCTGTAGCCTCCAAATTAACCCTTAAAAACCCTTTAAAAAATCCCCAAAAAAATCCTTAAAAAATCCTTAAAAAATCGAAAAAAAATCGAAAAAAATTCAAAAAAAATCGAAAAAAAATCGAAAAAAATTCCTAAAAAATCCCAAAAAATTCCCAATCCCTAAAACTCCCAAATATCCTCAAAAATGCCCCAAAAATCCAAATTAACCCTTAAAAACCCTTTAAAAAATCCCCGAAAAAATCCAAAAAAAATCCGAAAAAAATCCAAAAAAAATCGAAAAAAAATCGAAAAAAAATCGAAAAAAAATCAAAAAAAATCCGAAAAAAATCCAAAAAAAATCGAAAAAAAATCGAAAAAAAATCGAAAAAAAATCGAAAAAAAATCCCAAAAATTCCCAAAAAATTCCCAAAAATTCCCCAAATCCCAGATTTCCCAAAACCGGTGGATTTTTCCCCAAATACCTGTAGCCTCTGGCGCGGGGCCGTGCGTAGCCGCTGTAGAAGCGACAGAATTGACCCCCAAAAAAACCCCTAAAAAATCCCTAAAAATCCTAAAAAATCCCAAAAAAATCCTAAAAAATCCCAGAAAATTCCCAATCCCAAAAAACCCCGAAATAGCCCCAAAACATCCCTAAAAACCCCAAAAAAGCCCCAAAACCCCAAATTAACCCTTAAAAACCCTTTAAAAAATCCCAAAAAAATCCTTAAAAAATCCTTAAAAATCGTAAAAAATTCCTAAAAAATCCTAAAAAAATCGTAAAAAATCCTAAAAAAATCCCAAAAAATTCCCAATCCCTAAAAACTCCCAAATATCCCCGAAAATGCCCCAAAAATCCAAATTAACCCTTAAAAACCCTTTAAAAAATCCCCGAAAAAATCCGAAAAAAATCCGAAAAAAATCGAAAAAAAATCGAAAAAAAATCGTAAAAAATCCCAAAAAAATCCCAAAAATTCCCAAAAAAATCCCAAAAAATTCCCCAAATCCCAGATGACCCAAAACTTGAGGATTTTTCCCCAAATACCTGTAGCCTCTGGCGCGGGGCCGTGCGTAGCCGCTGTAGAAGCGGGAGCGCTGGGAGCCGAACCCACCCCCCCGCCCCCGGAATCGTCCCCGGGGGAATCCGCGGTCGGTGCTGCTGATCCCGGGGCGGTTGGTGCGCTTGGGGATCACCTGCAGGGGGGGATTTGGGGTGAAAAGGGGGGGATTTGGGAAAAAATGGGGGAAAAATGGTGAGAAACGGTGAAAATTTGGGGAAAATCGGTGAAAAAATGACAAAAATCGGTGAAAAAATGGGGAAAATAGGGGAAAAAATGATGAAAATGGTGAAAAATGGGGAAAAAAGGGAAGGAAAATGGGGAATTTGGGGAAAATGGGGGAGATTTGGGGTGAAAAGGGGGGGATTTGGGAAAAAATGGGGGAGATTTGGTGAAAAAAGGTGAAAATTTGAGGAAAATCGGTGAAAATTTGGCGAAAATCGGTGAAAATTTGAGGAAAATAGGGGGAAAAAAGGGGAAAAATGGGGGAAAAAGGGGGAATTTGGAGGGAAAAGGGGGAGATTTGGGGTGAAAACGGGGGAATTTGGGAAAAAAAGGAGAAAATTTGGTGAAAATCGGTGAAAATTTGATGAAAATCGGTGAAAAAATGACAAAAATCGGTGAAAAAATGGGGAAAATAGAGGG